TATATATATATATATATATGTGTATATATATATATTATATATATATATATATATATATATATATATATATATATATATATATATATATATATATATATATATATATATATATATACGTATATGTGTATATGTATGTATGTATATGTGTATATATATATATATATATATATATATATATATATATATATATATATATATATATATATATATATATATATATATATATATATATATATATATATTTATATATATATATATATATATGTGTGTGTGTGTGTGTGTGTGTGTATGTATGTGTATGTGTGTACGTGTGTGAATGTGTATATGTATATGTATATGTGTATATGTATATAAATACATATATCCTTCTTATATATATTCTTCTTGTTACTTTTTGTTTGTCTGTTTTAATTTTGTTTAAAAAAAAAAATATGAGTAGATGAATTTAAACCTATAAAATGTTCGGAATCTTTTTCAATTCAAAATATCTTTTGTATATTTAAATATATATTATGAAGTTTATTGGAAATGTATACGAATATGTACGGATTTGTAAATTATTTTTTTAAAATTTTTTAATTTGTTTTTTTTTACTTTTTTTAATTTCACTTTTTTATATATTTTTGAAAATTGTAAATTTTTTTATTTTTTTTATTTTTACGAAGGGGCTTGATGATATGACATTTTGTCTTCTACTTGCCCCAGTCAGCTTGCATTTGTATAAATTTATTTGAATGTAAGGTTAACATTGTAAAATGTGTCAAATGGCAATAAAAAAAAAAACAACAACAACATAGATTAGGTTATTTTTGTCAAGGTGTTTATATATTCTGTTGCACATAACTCTTTCTAGAATTTTTGAAAATACAGAGAGCACAGAGATGGGGCAATTATTAGTTATTTAGGATTGATCACCCTCTTTATAAATAGGTATAACTTTGGCAATTTTTAAGTGTTCTGGAATTCTTTGTTGAATTGAGGCATTGAAAACTTTGAAAAGAACATCTTTTAGTTGCTCAAATCAATCTATAATCATGTTCTCATTATGTCTGGTCCACATGATTTTTCTTTTTAATAGATTAGAACGCCTAATCAATTCTTCAAATGATAATTCAGAGGATAGCTCATCAGAGCATATGCACTTATCCAAGGGTAATAAGAAGTCACTAAAATTATTATTTCAATTATGGGAAAGTTAGCGCCGAATAGAAAGTTTTGTAGAAAGTTTCATGTATGTTGTTCGCATTATTGTTTATGTTAATATTATTCCAATAGAGTAAGGATAGTTAGTCTTTGAATAAATTAAGATTATTCTGATTAATATAACGTTGCTTTAATACTTTTTAAAATACTTTTTTTTTATACAATTATTAAAAATATTAGTTGAAATAATAATATTGATTAAAGTTGCTGAGTTTATAGTTACTCTGGTAGGGCGATTGATGAGGGGGATTGATCCTGTTTCAAAAAATGTGTCATAAAAACTTTTTACTTAATAGTCATTGCTATAAAGAAAACAACTCATATTAAAATCCCCAAGCAAAATTTTTTTTTCTTCTTTTCGGCATCACCTTTTTTAATGATGTTATGCAAAAACATACTGAGGTTTTCTCTTACGCCAGCTGGTGTCTGATAACAACAGCTAATTGATAACTTTTTTGTCACATTGTTTAATGCAGCCACGATTGTGTTATATATGCTTAAAAGAGTTCTTTTTAAGAATGTTAATTAGTTTACATGCTCAAAACTGGTTGCACATCGGTTATAACACAATCCAGAAATGCATAACAAAGCTAGATGTAGTGGTTCTTAGGATTCTTAGCAAAGTATGGAACTCCGCTTCCAGTAAATGTAATGTAATGTAATCTTAGGTTTCCGTGGCATCTTCGGTTTGTCAATTACACTGCATTTTGATGCTACAGTGGCGGCATCCCATGTCTGAAATGTCTTTTAATATAAGCTTATTATTATAATTTGTCTAAAATATTATGTTTTGATAAAAAACACTGTAAAAAAAAAAAAAAAAAAAAAAAAAAAAAAAAAAAATATATATATATATATATATATATATATATATATATATATATATATATATATATATATATATATATATATATATATATATATATATATATATATATATATTTACCGTGGAGTGTTGCATAAGCATAAATCAATTATCGTGAAGACGATAACTAATTTATACTAATGCAACACTCCACTTATTAAACTTACAAAATGATTCAAGAAGATCCGCTGTTTCCGACTTATTTTTGACTGAATTATCAAAATGATTTTCAAAATCAATAACCAGTTTATGATGGCAGAATAGTTACTGATAATAGATGTATTGGATGGTTTCTTAGGATAGATTAAGTCGGGCTAAATGGCCGCTGTGTTGTTTCAATTTTTACAATCTCTACTATGCAAATTTATTAAAACATGCCAGGCTTTTTGAAGACCCACGGGCAAATGCGTTTAATGATTGGTCTATATTTATTATATTTCTGATTTCTAATTTTTAACAGAATCTTGCGCTACTAACTTGATATTATAATATGATTTATCAAAGATGTACATTTGCATATATATCATCTACATAATATATTATAGCTATATACCTGCATCTATAATATATTATATTATCAAAAGTTCTTCAACAACTTTTGCACAATAAAATTTTACAACTGTTATTCGAAACTTTTGTAAAAGTTGGAAACCAGAATTAAGCAGTTGAATTTTATTTTGCGATTCTTTTATTTTGATATTAAAAAAAAAAGTAAACTTTACATTAGTTTTTTTAAGATAATGTTTTCTTTATTTAGTTTTTTTATAAATCAAATCTTTGTCTAGCGAATTTAGTTGGGTAAATTTCAAATTTAAAAGTTCTTTTGGAAATTTAAGAAACTTTTTTTTATTTATTTTTTTTATTTAATAATACCCAGTGAATAAGATTTTAAGAAATAGGGGCCTGAGAGTTTTAAAAGCTTCCGACCCACTAGTTACGGCACTGATCTATCCCAAATTTTACAACTCCCATATATCTGAATTTTACGGTTGTGTCTAGTCAACCTATTAAATAGTTAAGCGCTATTTGACCCTCCCCCCTCCAGTTTACAGGCAAAAGTACACATTGCGTGACTGGTTATTACATTATTGGTTATTACATTTGCTAGCATATTACGATTGAATTATAATTCTTATTGAGTTTCACAAGTTCACATTCTAAGAATGCGAACTTGAAGTTAAGAGTGAACCTTAATTAAAGCATTATAAATCCTGCCTTAGACTCAAATCAGTGTTAGTAACACTGATTAAACAGTGTTAGTAACACTGATTAAACTAATCGTTTAAAATAAAAACATGTGTAACACTGTTACACATATGTTTTTATTTTAAACGTTTTTTAAAAAATTAAGTATTAAAAAAATTTTTTAATACTTAATTTTGCATATATTTTAAATAGCATTTTCTTCAATATGAAATATTTAATAAAAAATTTATTAAATGTTTTTATACTTTACCATACTGTCCTCTTAGTTTTACTCCCAACATGACATCTATTTCACTTCCACTAGGAAGTAAAACAATTAAAAAACAACAACAAAAAAAATCATTTTTGTAGTCTACAACATATTTTTATTTTAAGATAAAAAATGTTTTTTAACTTCTGTATTAAATTATATACTTACAACTATATTATAGTCGTATTACTATATTTTGATTGGATTTTTATAAAATGTTTTATCATATATGTTATGAATAAACTAAGGCACTATGTAATTTTTGTAGACAAGTTTCTGTAAAAAAGTTTATAAAGTTATATGGATTTAATAGCAGTTAAATGTATAAGTTACAAGCATATAAAAAATATGTGTTTTTATAGTTAATTTAAATAATTTAATTTTTTTATATATCACAAAAAATTAAAAGATAGAAACAAATCATTCTCACAAATTAATAATACACTAATACATAGTTTTTCACTACTTTCTCTATGTTTTTATGAACTGGTTTTAGAGGCTGTTGTGACCTTTTTTTTGTTTTAAAGTTTTAAAGTTATTAAAATTGTATTTTTTATTTAATTTTTAACTTCTTGATTTGTTTTACAGCATAATGTCTTTTAATAAGTGAAAAGTTTCCATAGAAATTTATTTAACATTGAAAATGTATCTGTACATTAAAAAGCTTTACAAAAGATCAAAATTTTTTAAAGATTCTAATCAATTGGGTTTTGACAACTCTCTTTGACATTCTCTTTAAAAAAAATTTATTAGTCAGATTTAGACTCATCTAAGTCAGTTTATTTTTAGCAGTTTTCTATAATGGTTGTGCTAAATTTTACATTCACAATGTTAAACCGCAAGAGAGATTTTGATTTAGAAAATTGTGTTATAAAGACTTCTTAAAATAAAAGTGACATGTTGAATAAAGAAAAAGTTATATACATATAACAATTGAAATAAACAAATTAAATGCTATTAATAGATATTATTTTATGGAAAAACTCAATTTTTATTTCTGACTTTAAATTCAAAATACCTTAAATTAAATTGTTTTATTAGTAGTTGGAGGAAATCATTGGATATAATTATTTTTTATCAGTAAATAAAAATATCTCTCAACCAATTAAAAGTAAAGATTTGTTTGTAACAGCTACCCATTTGTATTTTAGTCAAACTTTTGAGTTAAACACGTGAAAAGTATAAACTAAAATATAATATATCACTTTAATTTCAACTCAGACTCACAATAGTATTAAGTTTAATTATTTTATAAGTAATGGGTTTAATGAATATATAATTGGTTATTAAAAGCAAATTATAATTATATATGGCTGGGCAACACTTCATCTTGTCAACCTCTTGTAAAGTTAATAATATATAATCAAATTACTCTTAATAAAGATTTTATAAAATTGAGTTTGTTATTTAGTTAATTTTTTTTTGTATTTAGTTTTTATTTATTTTGATAAATTTTTAAATAGTAATTTTATTTCTTTTAATTACTTTTAGAAAAAATAAAATTTCATTATCTAGGATGGTGAAGAAATTTGAAGATAATTTTTGGGTATTTAAAATTTTTTTTTTTTTTTCTAATTATTTTGTTATTAATAGTTGTTATTTCACGGCTGTTTCAAACCAAGCTTAACGGCTTCTTGTTATTTTTTGAAAATATTGACTTGAGGGGTGTTACAAAAATTTCTATAACTTTTATAATATTAAAGATAATTTTGTTTTGTAAAAAGAATAAAAACACCAATAAAATGTTTCATCTTACGACGTTTAATGCATTGTAAAAAAACTTCTTTAAGTTTAAAAAAAACGCAACAAATGATAAAGTTGGCTGAATTCAAGTAATTTGATGTTACTTTTTATCAAAAAAAAATCAGAAAAATTTATTTCTGATAGTTATTCTCTAACATACCCATTGTTTGACTATTATAAAAACAAAAAAACCTTAATTGTTTAAGGATAGCTAAAACAGACTTTATTGAGGTCTGAAAGCAAACCGCACTTTTCGCAAAGTTATGAAAAATGTAGTTAAAAGGGGGATTAGCTGTTAAAAGAGTACATTTTTAAACCTAGGAGTTCTTGTTTTAAAAACTTATTTTCCTAAGCCAATAAATTCATTGCATTGCAAAATAAAGCCAGATTTCGATTTTGGAATATTTAGTCAAAACATTTAAAGCTAAAGCATTTATTTTTTTCTGTGCATACAGTTCTAATAATATGGTGTTAAGTTGTTAATAAATAAAGACTCACCAAGTCTAATAAAATAATTCATAACCAAATTTGAGTTTCAGTTTTTGAATTAATCTCGCTTTTGGTAGTAGAATTATTTTATAGCACTTGAATCTATAGTCTCTTCTCTCAGTAAATAAAGTGTTTGAATATACAAATAGCTAATTGAAATCTTTTGAAAATTTGTTTTTATTCCCATTAAAAACTGTTTAATAATCAGTTGGTTTGCTGATAGGTTCTTTAAGTAGTAAACTATCTTTGTACATCCAATTGATATCAGATTCATACTCATGCTAAACCAGAAAAACAATTGCTCCACTCAAAATTTTGATAACGTTTACAAATTCTTAATTTATTGAACTAAATTTTTACACCAACTTGATATGAGATTTATATTCCATTCTTTAACCAGCGAGGAGGTATGTAGAGCAGAGGTACTGCAAAGGTAGAACTAACTTCTGGTGATAAACATCGAATGGATATGTAAAATATCTATAAAAAAATGTTACATATAATGAAGGACAATACATTTTTTAAATTAAATACACAAACACACAAGATGATACCCAACCAACAATACCAGTTGCCCTGATCACAAGTTAATATATAAAAGCTAGATTTTTACATACATTTGATGCAAGACTAGTATTCCATTCTATAACCTGAGCGAAGGTATTGCATAGGTATAAATAACTTCTGAAGATAAGAACAGAATGGGCACCCACCTAATATATAAAATCAATATATTAAAAAATAATATTTTAAACTAACATTACACAGATATTAGAACAGAATAAAATTATCTTATATATAAATTTAAGATCTGATATAATTTATCTTACTTGTAAATAGTTTTTTGTTGTTGTTGTTGTTTTTAATTTTTTAAATATTTTAACTAAATTTGATGACCACAAACAAGACAAAGACCTTGTCTATAAAATGAATTTTCGCCACGCTCAGAACACACAACACACTTTCTCACCTTAGAGGCTTGAAGCTTCCTATCAGCTTTACTGTGAATTCTTTTAATGTCGTTGGCAAAATGACCGAGAACTATTCTCACGACAGTCTGAACCCTGATACATACAAAACAAGTGAACATCGTATACTGACCCTGATGATTTAGAATTGACAACTTCAAAATGGAATTTCATATGCTTCCCACCCTTATCACTAGCAAAAAGGAGCCATACTTCTTCGCCAAAACCGACATCTGAATTAAGGTGGTTGCGTACATAAAGATTATTAAAAACCTCTTCAATATAAGTTGTCAAATTCTTGACCATCAGTACAGATAATAAACAAGGTGCTTCATTCGCAGATGGATAAAGTAACATGGACTTCACAGTGACATGTTCTTTATTGACATGCATTGTCTGCATTTCTTGTTCTTGTCTTATCTTGGGCTCAGATGTGAGAATCCTTGCACCAAGATTACACAGAATACGTCTTAGTCTACGGAATTCAGTCGTGGGCATCCTAAATTGGCTATGTAGCTCTATAGCATCAGAAACTGCTTAACTAAACCCAACTTATTTGCAACACAACAAAATATTGACTTTTCACAAGACATAGAATCACAAAACAACATAGACAAATCACTTTCTAAATCTAAACAAGCTAATAATCGAAGGAATATAAAAGCAAGTTTAGATCGTCTAGCTGCAGCATGCCTACTTAACTTAGAATAAGGTTTACCATTTCCTAACTTAATGTAAGTATATTTTTTACTATTGGTTTTTTAACTGATATATTCTGTGGATTACTTAATTTAAACCCACAAAATAATTCAGAAAAACCAATGTTGTCTTAGTCTAAATAAGAATCAACCACAACTAAATCCTCATCGTTACTAGCAAAACATTTGCAAATTTGGCAACTGTTCTGGCTTAATTCACTAATTGTTGCAATTTTTTTTTCAATAATAATTTTTTTTAGCAATCTTACATTTTTGGCACGAGCAGATGCAAATTTACGCTGTGCTGATTTTTTTTTTGGGTGGAGCTTGTGACGGTTGCATTTTAAAAAATTCTTCGTTTTTTATAGCTATAAAATTTTTTTTATATTTCTTTTTTTGGCGTGTTAACTTTAGGCACATTTTATCAAACTCGTCATTACTAGGCATATCAAAATCAATTGGCAAAAGAAAACTCATAAAACTAAATAAATCACTTCTTATTTTAAAGACTGTCATTAAAATGGAAATGACATTGTTACTGATCTTATTTGTCCTAATTAATCGCTTAACAAAAGGAAAGTTACATTTATCTTCCCATCCAATATGTTGTTTTAGAATTTCCCTCTCAGTTGAATACATAGTTATCAAAATAATATTGACTTATTAATCAATATAATAAAAACAAATAAAATAATATTAATTAACAAATATATGCACTATATAAAAGTGGATTTAACAACTTTTCTGATATTAGTTTGATAATTTAAAAAGAAAAATTCCGCGTAACTTTGTTTACTTTATACTTCAAAAATTGACTCGCCGAAACAGTTGTTTGGAGAATATTCGTTAATAAATAGTTTGGGACGTAACGCATAAAGGTTTCATCATCGCAAAAAAACGTCAACACAAATGTACGCCTAAAACTAACAAGATTAGTTGTAAAACATGACATTTTTGAAAACATATTTCATAACATAGCTGAAGGCACATAGAATAATTTTTTTATTTTCATTTGCATAAAAGGTTGAAGTATCATTAACTTACGTCATCCATCAAAAAAGTTACGTTTTGCATTTGAAAACGATCAATTAAAAAATATAAATGCTTTAAAAGCAGTCTTTTTGTAAAAAAATCGCAGGAATCTGATAGAATGGATATTTAGGGTTAATTGTTCCAAATTTCAACTATCAAACACAGAGCTATGTTATGAAATCTTAGTTGGCCCAACTCATGTTTTCCGGAAAATATGCGAAAATTAGAAAAGTGATTCTAAATTATTAAAAATATTTTGGCAATATTTATTTTTATACCAATTAATGTAAATATTTATTTAACAAGGAAAGATAGATCTTTTATATTTTTTTAATTGCAAGATGAAAGCATTTATATAAAAAAGTTACTATTAATTTAAAGTTTGTGAATTTTTATACTTTTTATGCGGAAATTTTTTTCTTTGATAAACTCATGACGTCACGCTCGTTTTTATATTGAGTGAAACAGCCGTGATTTATATATATATATATATATATATATATATATATATATATATATATATATATATATAAATCATATTTAAAGCTAAGTAGTTAGAAAGAAAATGTTTTGAAAGTTATTAGGCAAACCCTTTAAGGTTATAGAAAAAGTTTATGTTTATCAGCCTCATGCTCCTTTTCCATCTAATAGTATGATAAAGATATAACCTTGTGTTACTTTGTTTCTTGTCTAGAATAATAATCTTCTAGACTACTCATGGATTTTTGTTTGTGTCTGATCTGTTAGCAAGAAATCCTAAGTTTAATTCCCCACCACATCTCTGGTAACACAGCGTTTAACTTATTTCTCTGCATGCAGCCTTGTTATCAAGTTTCGGTTTCGGAGTTGAAGAGCTTAGGATTGTAACTACATTAAAATAAAAAAGTAGTAACTTCCTTGACTTTAGCAACCCCCTTGGCCTTAGGTAGTTAAGAAACATAAAAAACACAAATTTTTTTTAGGGTACAGTATAATGGCTCTTCGGCTCTTTTGGCTCTTCTTCTATTGGTGGTAAAATTTCCAGAATTCTATCAACAGCTGTAAAATATTGTAGTATTACTAGTATCATACTGTGTATAGAAAATATCCGTATTAGTGCTTTAGTTTTTTAACTGAGATTTTAGATTAATCTAAAATCTCAGTTGTGATTTTTATTATGATCTCTTTTCTGTAACAGAAACTTGCAGTGGCTGATAAGTTAACTCCCTAAAAAATCAGATCACTTATATTGTTTGTCCTCTATTTTACCTTTTCTTGGTTTATTCATTATGCTACTCTTGGAAACCATTTATACAGTCCTTAGCAAAATTAACATCTGTAAATATTTTTATCACATAACTTAAACTATTGCTGTTAATTAATTTGATATAAATGTACTGGTATCTATCAACTATAAAGTAATTAGAATAAAGTCAAACTTTATCATGTCAATGTTTTACTTTAGAATCCAATCTCTTTTTTGGTCATACTTCTAATGAATTATATTTTGACTTGTTTTTTGAGTAAGAAAAACTTTAATAAAAATTTCAAACATCACATAGTAATTATAAAAACATAGTATTTATAAAAACATGTTTGAAAAGTTCATAAAAAAAATTTTTTTTTTTAAATGTGAACAATTATTTTTATAGCATAAATCTAAAGTAATAATATTTATATGAAATAACTATTTTTGAAATAATCAAAAAATTTTCTTTGTTTAAAAATTAGCAAAAAAAGGGTTTTTCACCACATTCTAATATGTGTGTGTGTGTGTGTGTGTGTCTGTGTGTGTGTGTGTGTGTGTGTGTGTCTATATATATATATATATACATATATATATATATACATATATATATATATATATATATATATATATATATATATATATATATATATATATATATATATATATATATATATATATATATATATATATATATATATATATATGAGGGTGTTAACCAGCCCTATGGCACCATATATATTGCTGAATTCCCAATAGGTTCAAAATTCATAAAATTCAATGACTTTTTTTTTTCTAGTAATAAACAATATCATTAAAAATTCCCAATATTTTGTAGAACAATAACAATAAATATTCTTAATATCGCTAAAACATGGTAAATATATATATATATATATATATATATATATATATATATATATATATATATATATATATATATATATATATATATATATACATATATATATATATATATATATATATATATATATATATATATATATATATATATATATATATATATATATATATATATATATATTAATATATATATATATATTAATATATATATATTAATATATATATATATATATATATATATATATATATATATATATATATATATATATATATATATATATATATATATATATATATATATATATGTATATATATATATATATATATATATATATATATATATATATATATATATATATATATACATATATATATATATATATATATATATATATATATATATATATATATATATATATATATATATATATATATATATATATATATATATATTTACCATGTTTTTGCGATATTAAGAATATTTATTGTTATTGTTCTACAAAATATTGGGAATTTTTAATGATATTGTTTATTACTAAAAAAAAAAAAGTCATTGAATTTTATGAATTTTGAACCTATTGGGAATTCAGCAATATATATGGTGCCATAGGGCTGGTTAACACCCTCATATATATATATATATATATATATATATATATATATATATATATATATATATATATATATATATATATATATATATATATATATATATATATATATATATATATATATATATATATATATATATATATATATATATATATATATATATATATATATTTTAATTATTTCTAAAATTTGTTTTTGAATAATTGTTTATAAATCGTTATTGAATAAAAAAAAATGACTTTTTTTTGTTTTTAAAAATTTCTGGAATAAACAAAAAATATTAACATTGATAAACAAAAACCTATGTTAATTATTTAAACAGCGATTTTGTTTTGACTAGCAAAGAATAATTAAGGTTTTAAAATATTTTTTAAAATTTATCTTGCTTC